CAATCCGGCGCCGACCGACCTCCGACAGCATATTGAACGGAATCGGGCTCGTCAAGAGTCATCCGCTGAACTCGAAACACTGCGACGACGAATAGCCGAATTGGAAAGTCGGCAACGGGCGCCTGAAGATCCACCTCGGCGGGCCTCCACCTCAGCACAAGTGTATTTGGAAGCCGATTCTCCCCTTACTCCGGAACTCACTTCGGAACCAGTTCCCGGCAAAGTTAAGGTTCCCCAGATCGGGCTATATGATGGAACATCTGACCCGGACTCACACCTCAGTCATTATACTTCATGGATGGATCTGCATGGGGCCTCAGACGCACTTCGGTGTCGTATGTTTTCACTTACACTGGGGCCTCGGGCCCAAAAATGGTACCATTCTCTTCCTCCTCATTCAATTTGGAAATGGCAACAACTGAGGTCGGCTTTCCGATCTCATTTTATCGGGGCCCAAGTATGCCTTATCCCAAAAGAATCTCTTGCGAATATCACTCAAAACGAAGATGAAAGCGTCAAGGATTATATTGCCCGTTTCAATGACCGAGTTCAGAATATGGAACCTTGTCATCCTGAAACCTTGCTTGTTATGGCTATTGCTGGGTTGAAACCAAATTCGATTTTCCGTTGGATGCTATACCAAAATAAACCAAACACGTTTCAAGAATTTCTTGCTCGAGCCCAGCAACATATCATAGCGGAAGAAGCCATGTCGGTTCCCGATTTCAACTTTAACCCGAAGTCTTCTAAAGCGGGAACCGACGAAAAAAGGAAGAATAAATTTTTCGACAAGCAAAATAAGACTCAATTCAGAGGGCCTCCTCGGGGAGACCCCAATGATCCTGAAGTCCGAGCGGCCCGGAAACAGTACGCAACCGACGTGAAGTCCGGTTATCAAACTGTGTACTTGGCAGGAGCAGCCACTATTTATGAAGAAATCAAAGGGAAGGGCATTTTGCCAGATCCCAAGCCACTTCGGATGCCTGAAGAAAAACTGGACAAGTCCCGATATTGCGATTATCATAAGCCGCCAGGGCATAACACTGACGAGTGTTTGAGTTTGTTGGCCGCATTGTTGCGTTTAATCGGCCATCCGCAGCTTAGAAAATTTTATCGTAATACTGATCCCCAGAGGCGAGGTCCTGGACGTCAGATCGAATCCTTTGATGATGAAGACGATGAGGAAGACCGAGGTGCTGTGACAAAACGTATCCGACAGGGAGATAAGGAAGTATTCATGTTTACCTCGGAAACGTCCGATTCTAACTCTGCTGGAACTTCCCGAGGACGTAAACGAGATAGGTCTCCTGAACCAATGCAAATCACTGTCCACCGAGTCAATACCAACAACTCCCGGAGTACGTTGTCCCGTCGACAGGACAAGGCATATGCCCGACAAGCGCACAACTCCGGCAAACAGGTCTACACCACCGATTTGAGAGATATTCTCAACAATCGGAATTGCCCTATAACCTTTAATATGGAGGATGCGAATCATTTCGCTCATCCTCATTCCGATGCCCTGGTCATTACCGTCCCAATATTCGGTATTCCTGTTCATCGTGTCATGGTGGACACGGGGGCCTATTCAAGTATCTTGATGTTGAAAGCTTTTGACAAAATGGATCTTGACCCCGCCGAAATCCGACCTTGCAACGATCAAATCCAAGGGTTTAATGGCAGTATTTCAAAGCCCATCGGAGAAATCACTTTACCAGTCAGATTTGGCACCTCGGAGAATGTCACCAAACTCGTCATGGAAACTTTTAAGGTTATGGATATTAATAATGAATACAACGCCATCATCGGCAGAACGGCATTGTACAAACTTCGAGCTGCAGTTTCTATCTTTCATTATGCATTAAAGTTCCCGACAACCCGGGGAGAAGGAACCCACTTCGGAGATCAAAGAGAAGCTCGACAACTTGTCACATTTATCCCATCCAATGGGGTTCATTCAACTTCAATGGGTAATAATGAAGCCTCCCCCCAGCAGCACCCTCCAGACGATGTGGTAACTGAAGAACGAAAAAACCACGACGGCGATCCTTCCACCTCGGATCCTTTAACCGAAGACCGAGGTCACCGACCTGGAAGAGAGCCACTCCTTGAAGAAGACGAGTTGGACCCCAGAGCATTGTTTAAAGAAAAAAGTCGAGCTGATCGAGCCGAACCTGGAGAAGACGTGGAATTGGTCTATATTGATGAACCTGTCTTCCACAAGTCGTTGCGAATCGGGAGTCATCTCCAGGAACCACTCCGGGCAGAACTTATCTCGTTCCTCAAACAGAATTCTGATGTTTTTGCCTGGAGGCACGAGGGTATGAAGGGCATCGACCCCGGTGTCGCTAGCCACAAACTAAACCTCGATCGAACAGTCCGGCCCGTTGTGTAAAAGAGAAGGAAATTGGGGCCGGATCGTCAGAAGGCATTGGAAGAAGAAGTCAAAAAACTCATCGACAATAAGTTCATTAAGAAAGCCAAATACCCGACGTGGGTCTCAAATCCTGTTCTTGTCAAGAAGAGCAACGGGTTGTGGAGATTGTGTATTGATTTTTCCGACCTCAACAAGGCGTGCCCAAAAGACAGTTATCCACTTCCCCATATAGATTATATGGTTGATGCCACGTCGGGACATGAGTTGATGAGTTTCATGGATGCTTACTCCGGCTACAACCAGATTCCTATGGATCCCGAGGACTCTGAACACACTTCATTCTATTCGGCCCGAGGTCTGTATTGTTACACTATGATGCCGTTCGGATTAAAGAACGCCGGAGCCACATATCAACGTCTTGTCAACAAAATGTTCGCAACACTGATCGGTCACACCATGGAATTTTATGTTGATGACATGCTCGTCAAGTCGGTACACGCCTCTGATCATATAGCGCATCTTCAAGACATGTTCGCCATCCTCCGATCTTATTCCATGGTGCTAAATCCTAAGAAATGTACTTTTGGAGTTGAATCCGGAAAGTTTCTGGGCTATATGTTTAGCCAGCGCGGGATTGAAGCCAATCCGGCCAAAATAAAGGCCATTCAGGATCTAACTCCCCCAACCTCGGTCAAGGGTGTTCAGGCCCTAACTGGCCGACTTGCTGCACTCAACTGATTCATCTCCAAGTCAACAGATCGTTGTAAGCCTTTTTTCGAAGCAATCAAGAAAGGGAAACATTTTGAATGGACCGAAGAATGCCAAAAAGCTCTTGACAGTATCAAGGAGACGTTGGTCTCTCCCCCGACTTTGCAAAAGCCGAAAACCGAGGAAATGTTGTTCTTATACCTCGGAGTCAGTGAATCTGCCATTAGCGCTATTTTGATACGCGAAGAGGGATTGCTGCAATCACCTATCTATTACGTCAGCAAAGCCTTGCACGATGCCGAACTACGTTATCCTCCGATGGAAAAGTTAACATTTGCGCTTGTGATGGCAGCCCGGAAATTACGACCATACTTTCAAGAGCATTCTATAACTGTTCGCACTTCGTATCCACTTCGGCAAATCCTACACCGACCTGACACCTCGGGACGCATGGTTAAATGGGCCATTGAGCTCGGACAATTCGACATTCATTATCAACCGAGGACCGCAATTAAGGCTCAAGCCTTATCTGACTTTATCGCCGAGTTTACCCCGGCCGTCACAGTTCATTATAATAATCAACCATGGGTCCTCTATATTGATGGCTCCTCAACGGCTAACCGAGCAGGTGCAGGAATAGTCTTAGCTGATCCAGAAAATCGGTTATTCTGTCACTCGGTGAAGTTTCTCTTCCCGGCAACAAACAATGAAGTCGAATACGAAGCGCTGCTATCCGGACTGAATTTGGCAGAATCCATGAACGTGACTCACCTCAAAGTCTTCTCAGACTCCCAGCTCCTTGTTAATCAAATCAATGGTTCATATGAAGTCAAAGAACCTCGGTTGACACCCTATCTCTCTTTGGCCAAACGGAAATTATCGAAATTCTCCGCCGAACTCGAGCATATCCCCCGAACTCTTAATGTTCAAGCAGATGCCTTATCTCGACTTGCGTCCAGTACCGGGATGGAGAGTGCGGAGTACGTCCAAATCGGCCAGCAAGAACTACCGTCAACTGCCCTTTCCGAGGTCACAACCATCAATCCGGTAACATCACAAAAACCACCAACTTGGATGGATCCTATTATCCGCTACCTGGAAACTGGGGCCTTACCCCCAGACCCAAAAGAAGCTCGAGCACTTCGGATTCGAGCAGCTCGGTACACGTTAGACAACGGAACTTTGTTCAAAAGGGGATATTCCGTTCCGCTTTTGAAATGCGTAAGTGAAACTGATTCACGGTACATTCTTGAAGAAGTCCACGAAGGGATTTGCGGAAGTCACCCCGGTGCACAAGCATTATCTTATAAAATCCTGCGACAGGGTTACTACTGGCCGACCCTGAAGACCGACGCCGCCACATGGGTGCGCAAATGCCCGAAATGCAAAATGTTTGCACCGAATGTTCATCAGTCTCCCGAAGAACTCAAATCGATTTACAGTCTGTGGCCTTTTTCCAAATGGGGGATTGATCTTATTGGTCCTCTACCAACCGGAAAGGGAGGTGTCCGGTTTGCTATCGTGGCAGTCGACTATTTCACCAAATGGGCCGAGGCCGAACCGTTAGCCACGATAACCGAACAGAAGGTCGTCGATTTTGTGTGGAAGTCAATTATCTGTCGCTTCGGGGTGCCGAATTCCATCATAACCGACAACGGTAAACAATTTGAAGGCAAACGACTTGAATCCCTGTGCGAAGAATACAACATCAAACACTTCTTCTCATCGCCTTACCACCCGCAGTCCAACGGTCAGGTTGAAGCTGTAAACAAGCTCATAAAGAACGCTCTCAAAGTCCGACTTGACGCCGCCAAAGGAGCTTGGCCTGAGGAGTTGCCACATGTCCTGTGGGCTTACCGAACTACCACTCGGACGTCTACCGGCGAGACCCCATTTTCCCTAACTTACGGTTCCGAAGCCGTGGTTCGGGTTGAGCTCGGAGAACCGACCTACCGAGTTCAGCATTTCACCGAAGAAGCCAACTCGGAAAACATGAAAGCTGATCTGGACCTGCTTGAAGAACACCGTACCCGGTCCGAACTCAAGAATGCTGCGTACAAGCAAAGAAATGAAAGATATATCAATTCTAAACTCAAAACCCGTTCGTTCCGAGTCGGAGATTTGGTCCTCAAACGTATAATGGGGCCTGACCCCGGATCACTCAAACCGCGGTGGGAAGGACCCTTTCAAATCATTAAAATCCTACCTAATGGGGCCTACCGAATTGCTCATCCCGATGGAACACCACATCAATATCCCTGGAATGCAGTGTTCTTGAAAAAATTCTATCAGTGAAAAATCCGAAGTCGCATAGTCGACCCCCTTTTTGTACGAACCTTCTGTTGCCTCGGTGAATGCATGAAGTCACCCCTTTTGATGTACTGAAAAGCCTGTCAGTTTGCGTTTTTTGAAAAGTCGAGCAACAAGCTCGATATCGATGTAAACCTTTTGAAACTCGGTTATATGAATATATCGGGCCGATGTAAGCATTGCGACACTTGGTCTAGCTGATACCCCATAATATGTCCGAATACCACATATTTTCAGATGGGGGTGATGCTCGTCAAACGTCATTTCAACATACATGATTTGACGGGCCTTGAATATTGCCGAATACACAACATATAAGTCGGTTGGGGCCATTCCATAATCGGACTCTGACGAAGTTCGGTGACTTTCATTTTATTCCCCGTACAGCCCTAAAAATGTGTTAAGTTCCGCGAAGTTATTTAAAAACTCGCATATCGACTTACACTTGTGGCTGAGATTCTTATAAACGATCAAAGTGGAATTCGGAGATTATTTTTACAAAACCTTACAACTTGGATCATGATTTAAGTAATTCCGAGTTGAAGCAGTTCATTTCACAATGCGAACCGAATTCAAAACACTTTGACAAAGTCGTTGAAATTTGTACAGCAGACATAAATCAAAAGCAAAATTATGCAAACATTTCGGAAATAGATATATATTTCAAAGAAAGTAGGGGAATGTCTTACATATTTTCCTACAAAGGGAATCAGTTACCCGATATCCCCGATTACATACTTTAAATATTTCCTACTAAGGATGCCGACATGCCGGCACCCCGATTACAATACTGTAAATAAAACAAAACAATAAGATAACCGGAAACAAACTTCAAACCTCCTCGGTCGGCTTCTCCACATCCCCGGTGCCGCTGCCTTCTCCAATGTCGGTCCCGGAAGACAATCGCTCCAAGACCTGTGATTCCTTCATCTTAGCAGCAGCTTCAATGGCCCCGTCTGGCACCGGAATGAAATCATCGCGGGGGTCAGTTAATTTCTCCGCATCATCTCCAACCGGTGTGACCACTTTCACAATTTCAACCTCCTTATCGGCCGACCTCATCTTCTCTTCAATATAAGCTTTGACTCGGCTCTGAATCTGCTCCGGAGTCATGTCGTCGAAATGCTGTTCGACCTCCACCTCGGCCAAAGTAGAAAGGTACACGTCGGCCAGCTCTTTCCTTTTTTCCTTCTCCTCCTCCAAGATCATGTTGACGTAAGCACGTCGGAGGAGAGCAGCCCTATCCTCGGAGAGTGGCGGCAGATCAGGATTCGCATTTACCTCCTCCGAACGACGGAGAATCCATACACAGAAATCCCGTTCATCTTCATCAGCCGCCACATGCATTCCCTTTATCTCCGAGTCAAATCCGTATTTCTCCAATTTATGGAAGAGAAACAAGCGAAGGTCGTCAATATCGTAGTAGCCGGCGTCGTAGCGTTCAATAATCCACCTCAAGTTCAAACAAGTGTTCATTTCAATCTCAAGATCAGGACCGCCGACTTCATCATCTTCATCGGCCTCAACAGCTTCCATCTCGGCATCGCCACCGGACTTCGGTTCAGCGACAACCGAATCTTTCCCGGCTTGAAAACCGTTCTCATACATAAACTCGCCATAAGATGATTTCTCCCTCTCAAGTTTGGCCATCTCGGCCTGATGAGCGTCTTTTTGCCGACCTACGAGTTCGCGAGTCTCAGCACATTCTTTACGAGCTGCATCATGATTGGCCTTTTTCTCCGACAAGGCCTTCTCGGTTTCCGCCAGTTTAACTTCAGACATTTTGAAATGTTGCTCCACCACGGCAAGGCGTGCTTTGAGATCTGCCACCTCGGCCTCAAAGGCCTTCTTCTCCTCTGATAATGTCGAGGTTTCAGCCTTTGCCTTCTCCAATTCGGCAGCCTTCTCAGAAATTTGGCCCTTCAAGTCGGCCTCCGTTTTAGCAGATTCTTCCTTCAACTGAACGATCACCATATCACGTGCGGCTAAGACGTCCTTTTTCCCTTCTAATTGAGACACAACCCGGCGATGATCATCCTCGGCTGCCACCAAACTAACTAAGGCCCTGCCAACACATGCCTTGACATAGCTCAGCTTGTCAACGCTGGATAAAGAAGAGACTCCCACCTCGGATTTGGGGTCCCAAACCATCAGCGGGACCCGAGCAGCGTCTCTGGCATTCTCTGGCATTTCGATTCTTGACGACATATGCGGTGACTTCACGGACAGAAAAGTAGTGAACCAATCCTCCACAACACCCTCGGGCACCTTAACTTTGGCAGCCCGTTCTTCATCAATCGTTAGAAAAGACTTCTCGAACAAGGGAGATTCATCATGACCCTTCTCGGCAGCTTTGCGACCGGAGTCATGTTTTTTCTTTGATCTCTTCTCCACTCCGGAAGAAGCACCGACGTCAGCCATCTTCACTAATTTCCTCTTCTTCCTCTTCTCCGGTTGCTCCAACTCCAAGGACTTCGGAGAAGATGGTGGTACTTCGGTATGAGCAACCTCAGCCGTAATCATTTCGGTCCCAGCTGCGACCGGTTCAGGGTCTGCTTGATTTATTGCCGCAACATTTACTACCGACATCACTTCGGTAGTTGCCGCATCTGGCACGGGCTGCGGGTTTTCAGGCATGGCGGCCGAGGTCGCACTCGACCCCACCTCGGTCGACTTCTTCCCAGTGTTTTTCTGACCAGCTGTCTTCTTCACCAACGCTCGCACCAAAAACCTCCTCATGATGTTATTTAAACGCAAATCTCGACTTTTGCCGAATTTGGACTGCAAATCTTTGTTGGGGAACTTACGTCTGAATTCCTTAGCCTCTCTGACAGTAAAATAGCCTAGGAATCCGAGGAGCGGATAGTATACTGCAGCCAAAATCAATTAAAGTTATTCACTACTGTTCGGTATATACAAAAATGAAGGCAAAACCAACAGTTATGGAAAATTCATTACCGGGGTCAAACTTGACAGTGATAACTCCGAGAGATAATCCAGCCGCCTCAAGTTTTGAATCTACAACAAGCTTACGATAATCTCGGACCTCCTTCTTCAAACCAGCAAGTGTGATTAATTTCCCACCGAACTCTAGACTCAATTTCAGTTCCGCTTGTTTAGTCTCTTTTTCTACAAAGAGCAAAAGTTCCGACCTGTTAGTACACAGAACAAGGCAAAATCAGAGAAGTGTACTCAGATCACAAAATAAAAAAGACTCACTTGCTCCGGAATGAATGAACATTGGAATCGTCATCCCATCAATCCGAGGTTCATGAAAGAAGCTCTCAGACTGCCACTCCCCTCCAATCCACAACCACTCTTCCTGGAATCCATGAAGAGTTTCTGGGATGTCGGTTATTATGTCACCGACTTTTAAGCCATGCTGCGGTTTCGCTCCGGCAAAGAAGCAACATGAAGACTCCGCAACATGTCTCTTCGGACTTTTCTTAAAGGCGAAGATGCTCCTTATTTCCTCACACGATGGCAGCCCATCGCCCTGCTCGTGTAGCAGTACCATTAGACCGATTATTTTCTTCCAACTATTGGGTGTAATCTGGCACAGCGGTAACCCCCAACTCCGAAGGTATTCAGTGATCAAGCTCGGTAAGGGAAACCTCAATCCCGACCTCAAACTTTCAACAAAAACACCAACGCACCCCGGAGGAGGGCTGGTTATTCTCTCCCCCGGATATGGAGCAAAAATTTTTACCGAGGGTGGAATCCGAATCTGCTCCCGCAGCATCACCACATCCGCATCAGTTAGGATGCTGGGCTCACCTTCGAAGTCGACTGCAGGATCAGGCCACTTCCTCACCGGTCTCCTCCAGTGAGGTACTACAAGATCGGCCGCGTTCTCCTCCACTACTCGATCGCCATCTTCATCATCGGGCTTAATATCCAAATGCCCTACCAACATCGGATCCCACCGATGATACTCAAAGGCCAATTCGACCAACTGAGAGTCGTGATACACATCCAAAGGCACTGACTCGGTACTAGAAGAACTCGTCACTGCCTTCCCCTTCCCTTTCGGCGCCATTACACACAAACCAAACAGAAATACACAAGAAATGAACAAAGAATCGAAAAAAGAACTCACCGAAGGATTTGCAGACACACAGTGAACAAGAAACGACTCTCGAACTCAAAAGAATTTCCTCAAACAAAATTATCGGATGCAAAGGTCTAAGAATGAAAGCGCAAGTGAAGAAAATTCGATCAAATGTCGCGAAACCCTATTTATAATTGTCGATTTTATGACCGTTGAAGACCTTAATTAGGGGCGCGTCAAACCGACGCGACCCCTAATTCTAACCGACGCCACCTCTTCGCCTGAAAAGACACCTACTGTTACGCGTGGCAACCTATTAAAGTCGACCGTTACTTCATTTAAGACCATTACGGCGCGACCGTTCAGTCTAAATATTAAATCGTTGACCGTTACGACTGTTCACCTTTCCCCTGTCGCGACTGCCTGCAAATTACTCGAAATTTGCCAAGTGTCCTTACCTCGGAATACAGTCTACACTTCGGACAAATGACTCACCTCGGTTACGTCGGGCAGAAGACCGAAGATAACCCTCCGAAGACAAAAAACAACACCCTGCCGCTGACTTTTTACCGATTCGAGGTCTCTAAACGTCTGGCATGGCAACATCGATGACCATCACTCCGTATGCCCACCGATATTGGGGGCCTCTCTGTTATCATCCGATTCGGTAAAACGCCATTAAGAGATTCCAAACATCGCATTAAGAGGACGATGACCATTGAACCGACGTGATTTTTAACACCACCCCGGTCCAGGCAATGAATCGGACCGAACTACCGAAGACCGAAGTGGTCAGCACCTACCGAGGTCTACTTAAACCGAGATCGTCACCTCCTTAAGCAGGTGACAAGGTGCCTACGCACAACCATCACGCTCCACAAGATTCGTCATCATTTATGTGGGACCCACTGCTCCAAACCGCCCACAAAAAGCTACTTTATCCAAAAAGTAGTACACAGATCCCTATGTATCTACCAAAAGTTACTATAAATAGTGAACTCCTAACATTTGTAGGGGGATCCCTCTCCGAACTGAAAAAACTTTATTAAGCAACACGTAAAAGCCCATCACGGCTCTTCACCTCGGTTCACCTCGGACCGGGGCCATCGTTGAAGTTACTCTACATGCTTTACGTCCAAATCATGCATAATTTTCATCTTCATTACGTGTTATATCGTTGTTAGAAATCACATAACAACAGCGGTGAGCATGGATTTTGTTCTGGGCTTGCCCCGCACTCAGCGGGGTCACGATTCCATTTTTGTCGTTGTTGACCGATTCTCCAAGATGGTCCATTTTATCCCCTGCAAGCGGACTACGGATGCTCTACATGTCGCCCAGCTTTTCTTTCGTGAGGTATATCGTTTGCATGGTCTTCCCTCGTCTATTGTCTCTGATCGCGATACGCGTTTTCTTAGCTTCTTCTGGCGGAGTTTGTGGCGCTTGGCAAATACGAGGCTCGACTTCAGTAGTGCTTATCACCCGCAGACAGACGGTCAAACAGAGGTTGTCAATCGTTCTTTGGGGAATTTGTTGAGGTGCTTGGTGGGTGAGAATTTGCGTAGCTGGGATTCGCGTTTGAGCCAGGCAGAGTTCCCCCACAACTCGGCTGTGAGTCGGGTTACCCGATTTTCGCCGTTTGAAGTCGTATATGCCGTCAGGCCGCGGGGACCGGCTGACCTTTTGGCCTTGCCACCGACGGAGCAGTTGGACCGGCGAGCCAAGGATTTTATGGCGGATTTGCGCCGCACGGATGAGACGACGAAGGCCAACCTCGAGATGACGACGGCCGCGTACAAGCGGCAGGCGGATGGGCGGCGGCGCAATGTTGAGTTTGAGGTCGGGGACTTCGTGTGGGCCGTGTTGACTAAGGATCGCTTTGCCGCTCATGAGTATAACAAGCTTGCGGCACGGAAAAATGGCCCGGTGGAAGTAGTTGAGAAGATTAATCCCAACGCCTATCGACTTCGTCTTCCATCGCACTTACGCACCTCGGATGTCTTTAATGTCAAGCATTTAGTGCCTTTTCACGGTGACAACTCGGACGACGACGAGATCGCACTGGATTCGAGGGCGAATCCTTCGACACCGGGGGAGAATGATGGCGACGAGATCGCACTTGCCTTTATGGAGAAACGAGACTGACGTCGCCATTGATCATTATCTTATTATTCAGTTTCCTATTTTTATTTAGCATATCATATTTATTTAGTTGCCTATTTTATTTAGTTGATTTAGGAAAGTTATTATTTTCTTTTCTTAGGAAATAAGTAAGAGTTTTTAGTATTTGGAACTCTATTTATTGAGGGCTGTGAACAGATGTTGGAATTGAATCGTTGATGAATAAAAATTATCAGTTCTTGAGTTCTTTATTCCTTCGTTTAATCTTTCGCTGCGTCAAATCTTTTGTTTGTGCGTAGATCTCTCTCATTGATTATGTTAGCCCTTTTTTGTTTAATCACGCTTATATGTATTTAATTAGCTTATCAACAAATTAGGGTTAGAGGGAGGATGTATTAGTGAATCTTCACGCACTTGTTTCACAACTATTCACATACTTTACGAGTCATGTCATCCTCGAACAACATCAACAATCGAAACAACGAGAGAAACTCTCCCCCTCATCATTTTATCAGTAAGGTCATTCAGAATCCTACTTTCATTAAAGGTATTACCGAGCTTTTTCCCTCAAATGCTTCATAAAAATCCTAGAAAAAAAACCCGTCTTTTAAGCACAAATCTGTCGATAATATATATATATATATTCATAACGAATTTGAACAAATCTGCCACTTGCTAATGTCTATGATCAACAATGCTTCGTGATAAATGTGGTTCTTCTTTACTTTAACCTTAGATAGAGGGGGACGACGACTCTTTCACCACTTGAGGCGTTACTTTACCCACTAAACAGGCACTGAGGTACATAATATAACTGTATCTACCCTTGCACCCACTATATGTAGTATGTACACAAACAATAAATTCTAGCAATCTGGACACTGAAAGCCAACTTACTGTAGCCAAATTTGCATACACAGCCCATTTGATGGGAGGGGGTAAAAACTAAAAAGAGACAGAGAACACATCTTAACCTACAAATTCACGGATAATTACAGAAACTATTGAGGCTGAGGCCGAACTAAAATATAGAAAACAAAAAACATATTCAAGGGGTATATTTGCAACTATGAAATATAGCCTGATTTTGCCGAAATCATTATCGAACATTACATATCCACACATTGGCCAAAAAAAAAAAGAAAAGGAAAGGCACCTCTACAGAGCAGGGAGAAGCCATCCAACAGTCCACCCAACAAGCAAACCTGCGCCAGCAAGCGCAAAACCCACTGTAAAAGCAATTGCTCGTTTGCTCACACAACATCCGGCCTTAGCCCGTTTTGTTCTTGGGGCCCGTGTGCCCTTTTTCATCAAAGAAACTGTGCCTTTAATGGGATCTGCCGGCCGCCTCCCAAGATGAAGACACAGCGACTCCAGCTGCAGCAAACGGAGCCACTGTCTGTAGGCAAAAAGGCACGATGCCTGCTGGAAAAAGATATTGACGATTTTTTCCTTCTCGTCACATGCTTCCTGTGCCGATTTTTCAGCCTCTCTCGCGCGCGTTTGGGAATGGCAGAGGGCTTGTAACAGCTGGGCCCGGGTAAGACCTGTGCTTGGCGAGTCTGGTTCGGACGCATGGGGACTGTCTTCTTGGCTGCTGAAATTCAACAATTTACAAGTAGTTGTGGCTTTGCCAAATTTACAAAGAGAAAAGAAATAAAGAAAAAACGAGAGAGAGAGAGAGAGAGAGAGAGAGAGAGAATGAGTATAAAAGAAATGTTTATTTAAATAACAACACTAAACATCCAACTTTCAAATTAGAATACCTTATTGTTTCCGGTTAAACAAATTACTTATTCAATTGGGATGGGTATCTGTTGAAGAAATACAAACCTAATGGTGGTGTAGGTAATGCCTCAGTGTCTTTCTGCGAGATAACAATAAAAAATAATCGCGGTTTTTCTGTTATTAAGCATAACCTCAAAGGTTGTTGTGATCATCTCCAAAAAAATGAGCTTGCTTGAAGACTAGGATCTGTCTACTCTCATGGTTTAATTTTTAACACCTCATGAATCTTGCACGAGAATTTCTTTCGTTGTTTTTCCTCTTTTCTTTTCTCTTTCATTTCTTGGTCATAAATATACGCTTGATCCTAGTTCGCCGAGGATTCTAAGAATTTAACCCCAAAAGCATGTATAATATCCCCATTGGCACCAAGACAAACCACAAAAACAATGTTGTTCTCTTAGTCACAATCTAAAAGAAAACAGCATCCAAAATAGATGTCGAGCCCTGATTTCCATTAGTTAGCATGACCCCTCACATACACACTACCTCAACTGAGTAAAATTACACGAAAACCATTAAAAATATTATAACAAAAATATTTCACGAGGGTATCACCACAACAAAGCACACGTCCATGCTGTACATATAAAATAATAAAGTGTACCCGAAAGTTTTACACGACTCTGGCAGCATGCACTCTGTTAATCCTCGTCTGCCATCCGACTCATAAGCCTTAGCTTTCTCTTCATCTTCCATTCGTTCTTCCGATTGACCAAAACAAATCTCACAACCATCCAAAACCTTTTCAACACTCAGTGACCCATTATCATGAGATGATGCTATATCGTCCTTGTCCACCGCATGCCACCAAGGTCTGATTTTGTCAAGCCCTACCCAATGAGTATCAGATTCAGAACAACTCTTCACAGGCTGTTCAGTGAGCCCATAATCGCAAGAGTCCGAACTGGAGAGAATAACTTCCGAGAACACGTCCGAAGAAATAGAACTATCGTTTTTTGTGCAAGCAAAATATTCGTCAACCAGTTGGCTCTCGAGACCTGTCTTAAGCCCATGACGATGATTTAACCACCATTTCGCGTCTGGTATCAAGTAATCCAAACTTGAAGAATTTCCTTTACAAGATTTGTGATCATGGACAAAACTATACGACCCGAATAACGATTCGCTGAAATTGCCATCACACTCGGACTTCATTGTAGACATTGCTAGGTGTAAAGCAATCGCAGAAATCTTGCGGTTGAAGTAAAATAGCTAAATGTCACATGGGCCTCAATCAGATGCAGCCTACAATTCACAGAAAACCAAGAACAATCAATAGAAACAAAATCAAGAATTATGTAAAATAGCTCCACGCATCAAAAATTTTCGACAAAAATAAGAAACGCGAAAACAAAATTAGCGAACAAAATCTACTAAAACGACTAAACCCATCATCAAACCTCAGACATCTAAACTTCCGAAACTGAACTAAACCGCAAAATCTAGTCACAAATCGCACGTATTTGAAAAATTACGTCAGAGAAAGGGATTCTGTTAATCATAATTAAAGAGCATAAATAAGAAAAAGTGGTGAATTTTGATAATCACCTGGTTGGAATGCTTCGAGGGGTCGATTGCTTTGATTGCTTTGTATATTCCTAAAGAACTGGGAAAAAAGTTGATTGTAGATTCAAATTGTAGACTACACATAACACAACGCAGTGTTTTGTGTTGATCGGAGATATTTTTATTTGCGTGAAGTACGTGTTTGCGTTTGTTGGTCGAGTCGAGTGTGTCCGATTAGAAGAGAGCGTGTTTTAGTCAATGCCCGATTTCAGCTAAAATGCAAAGTGACGTCTCTTTCTTTAGGTGCATATGGATATATACTCTAATACTAGTATAACGCTCGTGTATTACACGGGTGTTTACTAATTTTTTTTCTTAAAATATAAAATCAATGAGAAAAAATATATCACTTTTTAGTATTACAAGTGTGCTAATTTTTTTCTTAAAATCTAAAGTTATATATTTAGTATGTCACACTTTTTATTTGTGCGACTTACTTGTGTTAAATTATAATATTTTTTTTTAACTTGCAACATATAACTACATAAAACATAAATATATCAATTGAGAAATAAATTTATTTTTCTAATAAATTTAAATAAATATTATTATTTTTTATTATTATAAAGATAAATATAATTTATTTATTTCATATATAGAATATGGATGTCAAATCGAAGATCATCAAAAGATGACTAATTTGATATATTATATTTGTAAAACTGATAAGAAATACAAAAGTTATCAACTTATAAAATACAGTTACAATTCAATAACTAATTGAAGGAAGCAAATCAAAAGTCAGGGATATATTAGTCACTAATGCCTCACTATGTAAATTTACAAAGAATTTAAGGGTTATATTAGTACAAATGATATTAAAATACCTAAGTTAGTTAAATAATATTTATAGAATATCCGAACCTAGATTATTAATTATTGATATATCAATATTATTTGTTCAAACCTAATTACGAAGCATGATTCTTCGCCAAGTAGGATTTCGAAGCACCAGAAGCAGTCACGTAGGCTCAGCACATTTGGGAATTATATATATACTAGTACAACACCCGTGTATTACACGGGTGCTTGCTAATTTTTTTCTTAAAATCTAAAATTAATGAGAAAAAGTAGTTTGAAAATTTAAATACCTTTTATAAAAATATATATATTATTATATATTTATTATGACACTTTTTATTTGTGCAACTTACTTGTGTTATATTATACTAATTTTTTTTTTTTAACTTACAATATATAACTAATTACATATAAATATATCAATTGAAAAATAATTTTATTTTTCTAATGAATTTCAATAAATATTATTATTTTTTATTATTATAAAGATAAATATAATTTATTTATTTCATATATATACAATATGGATGTCAAATCGAAGATCATCAAAAGATGATTAATTTGATATATTATATATGTAAAACCGATAAGAAATACAAAAGTTATCAACTTTTAAAATACATTTATAATTCGGATATATTAGTTACTTAGTGCCTCACTATGTAAAATTATAAAGAATTAAAGGGTTATATTAGTAAAAGTGATATTAAATACCTAAATTAGCTAAATAATATTTATGGAATACCCGAACCTAGATTATTAATTATTAATATATCAATATTATTTATCCAAACCTAATTACGAAGCATGATTCTTCGCCAAATAGGATTCCGAAGCACCAGAATCAGCCACGTAGGCTCAGCGCATTCTGGAATTATATATAAGGAGGATAGGGGATATTTTTATTTTGATGCCCTAGCTTTCTTTCTTTTGTTTCTATTATCGACTACATAAAAAGATAATAATTCTCCAACAAACATGAGGAAGAGATAAATAGTTAGAATAATATTTTATTGGCGGATGTTGCCAGCCTTTCTTGTTTTCTTTTTCGTTTTTAGTTTTGTTTTTCGTTTGACTTGATGTATTCCAGACATTATATTTGTAGATTGTGATTTTTTAGCCCATTTAAGGACCTATAATAAATATAGGTTGGAGATCCGACCTAACAGTCTACCCTCTTTTGAGTGTTTTTTTTAAAGAAAAAAAGAATAATATTTAACTAGTGTAATACAAATGACTTGTTGTGAATAACAATCACAAATTAATAAATTCAAAATGATATAGCGCTCAAATAGGGTTTAGAGATATATAAACAACTCAATGTGATATTTTGTATGTATCTATACCAACCAATTATTAAAAATTAATACTATCAACTAGTACAATATTATATTATTCTTATAACAGCCCGTGCAATGTATGAGATAGAGTTGTCAGATGAGTCATTTTTTCTTTTTTTTGGTATGTTTATTTAGGCCCAAAAAAACAATAGAGTTGAATTATCCAGAGAAAATTACCCTACAGACGAGGTAAATTGAATTATATTGCACTCTTACGATCTAGTTAAAGTTTAGCATATTCAACAAAACTTCATATTTTATTTGCACTAATACGAGAAACATGTGAGATGTAATATATTGGCTTAATTATAGGGAGTGCAGATTTAGTGCGATTTAATAACGAGAGAAAACTACATTTTCTCTATCCTCCATTCATCGGCCTTATATGACCCATTTTCATCTTCTCATCCTCTCCTTTTCCATGAATGACTGCAAATTTGCATCCACCGGCCGTTTTGCTTCTCCTTCGGCTCGTGAGTGGCGGGATCGTTGGACGGCTAGATTCAGCCGAGGGCGGTGGGAACCCGATCTGTCGGGCACGTGCCGCGGAGATTCGAGCACCGACTGAGTTTATCCAAGGCGGCGTGATGAGATTAAAGGCGTGCCCACTTTCGACCGCCAGTGTTTCGGGTGGATAACGGGAGGAGGCCCATGCAAGGATCTCCCTCCGCAAAAGTCTCCTCGTAGATAGTGATGGTGTTGAATAATCATGGTCGACCGCTGTTGGTAGTGGAGCGTTAGTCGTCGGCATGTGGATAGTTTCGATCGGATTTGTTTTTAATGTTATTTGATGTCTATTTACAGTTTATGTTAGGGATTTTTTTGCAGTTTTTTTTTTCTTTTTCTTTTTTTTATGAGGCAACTGATATGAGATTACAAATGATGAATTTATTTATTATTTATTTTCGTTGATTATTGTTTATGTTGTTTTTCGATATTTATATTAATGTATTTTGTTTCATTTTTATTTGTAGTTATGTCGCGTGTTTTTCAACAGTTAGTAAAAGTTATGTAAATAAAACACAACAGATACTGAAAATATACTGACTGATTGTAGTTCAAGAGCTGCATGCGAAATAGGACATTTGAGTCGGTAAAAGTTATGTAAATAAAAACGCAACATATACGATTTACCATCACACAATACCTTGAACACTTAATGTACTTGTAACAAAGAAAACAAAAATTATACACGTACATATTAAGCATATAACACGATTACATTACGTATATGTAAATGAATGATATACTTACAATATACTGGGTTGCAATTCTGTAGTTTTTTTCAAGACTGTATATGTGATTTTTTATATATTGTATGTATTATTATGCAACACCGCTAACATTTTAATCAACAAAAAGCTGATAGTTTTACCTCATATTTCCCCAATAAGAATTTGATTTGCAATGTTAGATAAAGTGTTGTTGGTCGTCGTTCAAGATTTTCAAAATCAAATTACATGGCTACGAATTTTTTGATTATACCAAAATAAACTACTATTAAATGTCAAATAAACATTGATTTTGTTCATATACCATCGAACAAAGAATGTTGGTCTTTTTTTTTTTTTAAATTGGAATGAATTTTGAATATTAATTTGAAATTTGTTTTTCTTCCTGACTAAAATATCAAATAAACATTGATTTTGTTCATATACCATCGAACAAAGAATGTTGGTCTTTTTTTTTCTAATTGGAATGAATTTTGAATATTAAATTTGAAACTTGTTTTTCTTCCTATTTTTTTGTCAGGTTGTTATTCATTCACTTAGTCTTCACGCGTTCTTCCCATGTTTACTACATGTATTTATTTTTTAAAATTAACAGAATTGGTGTCAGTTACGAAAATCAAGGAAGAAAACCTTTTTTTTTTTTTTTGTAATATATAATATCGCATAAACACAATTATTTCATACTAATTTCGGCCAAATGCTAATATTTTACACTTAATCTTATGTCTACAATTATTTATAAATCATTTAGCAAACGTGTAAATTAGCCTTAAATAAATTGGCTTATATTCAACTGATTAAAGGACAAGGGGGAAAAAAATGAGATAGAGATAACTAGATAGTGTCAGCTAGATAGACATAAGGTTTGCAATGGCAGAGTCGAGCTGGGGTCGGGTCTTGTGTGGTGGGCCCTGGTCGTCGGGGTTGGGACGGTGGAGTTTGTTTTGGTTCTCCAGTCGTGGGTCTACGGGTTGTCTATCCAGGCGGGGCAAGGTCTTTGTCTCGGATCTATTTAGGCGTTTATTCTGTAGTTTTTGGCTCTGTGATTCGGACCCGATTTCTGTCTGTGTGGGGAGTTGACCGTGAGGTCGGCGTCATTTCTTGTTCAGTTTGGTTTCGCTACTGTAGGAAGGGCTTTAGTATAATTATTTTTCTATTTTTGTCATTGTGTTTGTGTTGTATTGTTAGTGTGTGTTTGTTTTTTTTTTTTCTCCGTTTTAGGAGTGTCTATTCTCTTGTTGGGGAGTTTATATTATCCCATTGGGGAGTGTATTTTTTCTGCAGGGAACCTTTTATGTGTTTGTAGTGTTGTGGATTATAGGCTACCTTTGTTAGCCCTCCCACATTCGGCTACTGAGCCGACTGTAATTATGTGTTTTAGTGATGAATTCTATCATTTCGAAAAAATACAAGTTTAATTTTGTCTACACTGTAACCATCAAGTTTAATTTTGTCTACACTGTATCCATCTATCTAAATTAATTTAAGCCAGTTCCCACTTCCCAGCAACCAAATGAGGCTTATAAGCTGGCATGGAAACAAACCTACAACATGGGGAGGAATGGCCAAAGTATGTAATTTTAGCCCTTATAAAAAGAAAACAGATTCTTAAACCCCTTTCACGCTCATGTCACGCCGAGAAAAACATGTATAGGCAATGGATTGATGATTAAATAGAATCCTGGATCAAGAAAAGAGGATTCCTAACTTGTTTCTCTCATTCAAAACCGTGCATGAGACTTTCATCTCACATTGTGATGTGAAAAATTACCTACGTCAATCAAGTGATCAACCATATATTATTTGTGGCATAAAAGCATAAAAAACCTTACACTGTTTATCATTTCTGATAAAATAAAAAACAAATAGGGAAATTAATGCGACACAAGATAGAGATATAACCTTGTCCAGCTAAGTTCACTAACAGATCATATGATCTCTTGGCTATAATTATCTCCAGCTTTGGGGAACAAAGATACATTTCGTTACAGCATTTGGCTGGAAATAGCATCCATTTCCCTCATCTTTTCCTAATTTTTATATTAAGGATCCACTCGTCTCCGACTGGCTTAAGTAAAGATTTTGGCAAACGCAATGGGACTTTGTATTCCCCCAAAGACGACAAAGGATCTGGTAGTTCCAGATTTTCTGGTCCGATCTGTATCTGAAGCTGACGGGCGACCTAATCATTTTCAAACAGAAAACTTAATAGACCAAAAACAAATAAAATTTTCAATCAAATGGATGGTTATTCTATTGAAGAGTAATAACTGAAGAACTACTGAAGAATCATGACCTTATTTATCTTTATCTATGTCAATAACCATTATAAGAAAAGGTCGAATAAGCATTTAGAGCGAAAAACAGGAAAACGTGAAAAATATCAGTAAGAGGAAAGCACATGGTTTAACAATAAGATAAAACATTAAACAGTTCAAAACTGATAGTTAAAGTTTACCGATACATTGGTATATGCTTACAACAAAGTTGTATAATCTCAAACCGTACAGATTCGTATGAGAAACAGATTTCAGAGTAAACACAAATAAGATCAAACAGGAGTCGTACCTCAGCGATGATTTCTTCTTTGGTCACTGGCTCACGCAACTCAAGTCCTTTTCCCTCTATGATGAACTTTCTAATATTCTGGTAGAAGAAAAAAAAATCAGTACTCAATGCTAAAAGAAACTATTTTTTTGTCAATAAATAAAAGTTATAAAGCTTTTCTTCTCGCACTTTTTTCTGACAAATTAACTTGCTACTCCCAGCCTAAAGTTGAACATGCATAGAACAACTATTTTTTTTTTCCAACTCCAGAGTTATGGAAATGCATTAAACTGATCAAGGCTGAAACCAATTTAACAATAACATCATGTATTAATTCACATGTTCAGCGTCTGCTATCATATCTATGAAACCATGAACAAAACTCTCAAATAGCTTTTCTATTACATATCTTGGGGCATGAAATGGAAAAACCAGAGGCAAACGAAGTGTTAGATACTAAAGTTACCAGGTTTGAAGAAAAAGCATGAAAATATATTGGTTATAGTTAATGAACTTTATTGAGAATGAGTAGAGATACTAGATTTCAGACAATAAAGCACAGGAATTACATTTATCAGAAACCTTCTAATGCATGTGTACATCAAATGGTTCAAATTTTGAAAAAAAAAAAAGAAAAGAAAAGAAAAGAAACCAACCAATCTTGTGCTGGCAAGACGATTTGCCGCAGCCTCATACTCTTTCATGCTGCTTCCCTCTTTCTTCGAAGCTACTTTAACCGCTTCAACTTCTTTAGGTTCGTAAATCTGTTCAAACCAATTAAGGGAGAAAATTAGCAACCATCACCACTAAATTAGAAATGGGATCCGGAATAATGCCACCAGACAAGCTGACAGACTTTCAAGTCCGAAATACATGAAAACCCATGGAACGTTTTTTACGGGGACGACTATAGCTGTTTTACGATAAAGGCAAATGAACTTCTTGTAAGTACAAATTTGTACAAGAGAAAGATTGGGAAAAATTTCTACCCATCAAAAGAAAAACTCATTCCACTCCAATGTATATAAGTTTCAAAGCCCCATTACATGTTCAAAACTTTGCTTCACCCAATCACCAAACAACAAACATTTCCAACGAGACAGCAATTAATAATCAAATACAATCATTCAATATGGATGGGAAAGAAGAATATCACCTTGCGCTGCTCGGTAATGAGATACGCAAACTTGTCGATGTTCGGCACAGCAAGCAACTTCGGCATCAGATAATTACGGAAATAACCCGGCGCAACCTGGACAGTTTCCCCAGCCCTGCCCAGCTTATCAATCGTCTAATCAACCACAACGAACAGCAATTAATATATATGCATAAAAAAGGCTTTGGACAAGAAGTTAGCGGAAATCGAGGTGATACCGTGGTGAGGATAACCTCCAGCTTTCGGTAACGAACGCCTTGAGCAGCGTGGAGCAGCGGGTGGTGCATCGCGCTACGCCGCAGGACATTTTTCCCGTAATGCAGATAAGCCATCTCCTCCAATACAAGAACAATTTGTAAGCGGTTGCAACGAAACGCACTTCAAATGAGTTCCACTGGCACCGGTAGGCGAGGGAGCCGGCGGCGGTAACACCGGCAGGCTAACGGGTGCGACTAGGGTTTTCGCTCTGATAGACCAGCGATCAATTATCTGCTTGAAACATCAGAAGTCGCATTGCAAAAAAACGAAGAATAAGTCGCATGGATTTATATGCCCCAAGAAAAAGCGCTACTTTAATAATAATAATAATAATAATAATAATAATAATAATAATAATAGTATAATAATAATAATAATTAATAATAATAAAAATTACGAAAACATGGAAAACAGCATAAAGTTAAAACACGAACGCGGCCCACGAAAGTCTCCTTAATAGGCCCAGGTCTACCAGACCATGAGCCCATATCTTAAAATTCATTACAATTCACAAACCTTGTGGTGATAATAAACTAAAGAAGAATTTACACCCTCCACTTAAATAATATAAAGATACTACGTAATTACATCTCATATATAATTATTTACAAACTAATTAAATTTTTTAAATTAATTTGCATATATGCCTAAATATCTGTTTTTCATATTTATGGTATTGTTACTAGATAATGGAGGAATTAATGAGAGTTTATCGGTTATAAAAAAAAATTCTATTTATATGGTAATTTCCATCAACTACGTCTCTCTCCTCTCCCCTCCCCCCGCTCTCTCTTCTTCATACACAGCCCTCTCTCTATCTTATTCACACAAGTCCCGCCGCCACGCCCGACTTCTCCACCAAGCACGTCCCCGTTCAACGCCGTCCTCCACCGAGTCCTACTTCCTCGATGAGATCGTCTACCGAGCCATCCCTGTGGTCATCATCTGCATGTAGGCGATGCGAGAATCTTTTTCTATGGAGTCAACGAGAGAGAAGATGAATACATTATAGAGCATGATTTCCTCAATTACCGCCGGTGACAGCGCCCTCTGAAGAGGGTTTCGGCGTCGCCACAATTGGGGGAGATGATTGGTTGGTTGCAGGAAATTTGGATTTTGCTTCAATTTTTTAGGGTTTTGGAATGTGTGTAGATTAGTATTTACATTGAAATTCGTAGACATTGGATTGGGGTATATGTATATTATACGTACAGTATATGTATAGTATATGACTTACGTCCTCCCGAGTCGTACAGTATATGTACTGTATATGATTCAGAATCCAGTTCGACCGCCATTGGTGGTGGAGTATTTGAGTAGTCGGCATGCATATAGTTTCGATCGGATCTGTTTTCAATGTTTATTTGATGTTTATTTACAGTTTATTTGATATATTTAGTCAGTTTATATTGTTTTTCGATATCTATATTAATGTTTTTTGTTTCATTTTTTTTTACAGCAATAACTCATCCTATTTTCAGTTTATGTTGTTCCACTATGAAAAATAAAATGACTATAAACGCAATACATTGAAAATATACTGAAAGTATACTGAAATAATGATTATAAAAGCAACATACACTGAAAACATACTAAAATATTATGAATATAAAAGCAACATATAGTAAAACATTCAGCGAACAGTAAAATAAATAAAAAAAGGAGAAAAATTACTTTTTGATGGAAGCATTTTTTTTAGCACACAAACGCAAATCATGGGCAAAAAAGGAGAGAAAGTTGAATTGATACGGTAACTAAATTAGGCATCAATGAAGTTAATTTTATCCTTTAGGTAAATATACAGTTAATTTAATGGGTGTGGTATTGTTGTAATAT